AATGCAGGCGCTAGGAGAGCCTGAGTCACAGCACCAAATGTAAGCATTGCAGCTCGGATGGAAAGGTATCCTGGCAGCTGGAAGCTAAGGAATACCACAAAGTCACACCACACAACAAACCTCACACATGAGATTTATTGAGAGGAAAAAAACCAGGAGGGTGGCTGCCTTTGCTCAAGCAAGAAACAGCAGCAAACTGAACAGGATAGAGGGCTTATACAGAGCTTCTTGGGAAGCAGGTGGACCTTTTCAGGGTGGAGTTTTCTAGGGTGGAGATTGGTGGGATTTCATGTTGAGATTGGGCTTTTTGCTCTGCAGGGTGGGGTCAGGGTCCAGCAGTTAGGGCAGTTAGGGTGTTCTGTGGGTGGATCCTGGTGGGTAGAGGTCCTCAGGGGGGAAGGGCCTGGCCACTGGAGTGGCTTGAGGGGCTTACAGAATGTATACCATATTATTTAGTACATATTAAGTATTCAATAAATATAAGCTACTGCTCTTGCTATTGCTCTTAATGGTAAACTGGGTCCAGACCTAGAGTCAAGAAGGCATGTCTTGTTTAGCTTTACAAGACTCTTCAATTGGACACATTTTATTCCCTGCCACTCCTATACTGTTAGCATTCTTCTTTTTTAAGAGTCTGTTTTATTTTATGTGTATGAATGTTTGCCTGCATGTTTGTATGTCCACCACATGGATGCTTGATGCCCCTGGAGGCCAGAGGAGGGCATTGGATTCCCTGAAGTAAAGTTATAGATGAGTATGAGCTCCTATGTGCTGCTGGGAACTGAACCCAGCTCCTCTGTGAGGGTAGCAAGTGTTCTTAACCAGTGAGCCATTTGTCATTTTTAGATTTTTGAAAATGTCATTTTATATTTTTATATTTTTGTGTTTTTAGACTGTTCATGTAAGATAATTAAAGACTTATTTTAATTTTGCCATTAAAGAAAACCAGTTAAGTTGCACTCTTATTCCTTTTCTCTTTGCCTATAACTTATTTGGGACCTCAGGTGCTGAGACTGAATTAATTACACTCTTTGGCTTCGGAGGATACTGGCGTCAGAATGTCCCTTTGTGGTTTTAGTCTTTCAATGTAATGGCACAGTGTATCCTCTCCTAGGTATCCACTGCAGTGTATCTTTACACATCCTTAAATATGCGTGCCTTTTTGTAAATAGGTAATAAAATTTTGTATGTGTGTTCTTATTTATCTAAATAACACTTCAGAATTCTAGTCATGTTACTGTACATAATTATTAAATGATTCTAATTTTTTAACTTTTAATCTACTCTCTAACCTAGATAACTGTCACTTCCACATTAGTACATTGTGGGTTGCAATGAATATATTCTTGTATTATTTTTTATAGGTGGGATAATCACATTTGCCCTACTTGGGGTATTTTTGAAATTTAAAAGTGAATCTTAATAATACTAGGGCAGTAGATGTATACCAAAATTCCCAACAAACCAGAGTATATGCCCACTCCGTTTACAAAATATTTTCTTGGTTGCTGCTGATAGTTAGCTGATATATACTGAATAACTTAACTAATCTATCCCTTCTAGTTGTTCTCAGCTGATAACCTGTTCTAGTTGGTTGGTACATTGGCTGGATAATTACTACAGATTTAAGTAGTACTCTTGCTAGAAATAAAAAACAAAAAACTTTTATCTTTTGTGAGTGTTTTGCCTGAATGTATGTATGTGTGCTACATGCAAGCCTGATGCCTTCAGCGGTCAGAAGAGGGCTTCTGGAACTGGAGTTGTAGATGGTTATGAGCCACTGTGTGGTTTCTGGGAATCAAACCCAGGTCTCTGGAAAAGCAACCAGTCCAGTCCTCTTAACCACTGAGCCATCTCTCCAGCTCTCTATGAACTAGTTTTGAAGAGGATTCTTAGGAAATAAATTACAAGTGAATTTGAGTTCTAATCAAATGTTTTATATGTATAGATGGGTAACTTTTTTTTTTTTTTCTCAAGACAGGGTTTCTCTGTGTAGCTTTGTGCCTTTTCCTGGAACTCACTCTGTAGATCAGGCTGGCCTCGAACTCACAGAAGTCCGCCTGCTTCTGCCTCCCGAGTGCTGGGATTAAAGGCGTGCGCCACCACCGCCCGGCGATGGGTAACTTTTTAATCCCTATGTTTTCTCAGTTTTAAAAGAAATTTCATGTCTGCATCATCCTCCTTGCCCCACCAGACTCTTAACTGGAAATTTAACAGTCACTAGTTTATTGACAGAAATTGGTAGTGCCTTTCCCCAGTGTAACAGTTATTATGTTTTACAAAGAAAATTTTCAGATTTTGTTACTGGAGTCTAACAATTACCTTTGAAGAAGAGAGGGTAGAATTTGTAATCCTTATTTTCTAGAAAAGAAAGCAAATGAGATTTAAACTGATTTGTTTCTGTCCACATCTGGTAAATTTTGGAGTTGAACTTGAAACTAATTCTTCTGACTTATGCATTGTTTAAAGGGACAGGGAAAAGGATACATTTGTTTGTGGTTAAAGTCAGAACTGAACAGTTTAGTACAGTTTAGCTTTCCATCTTCCTTAGGACATAATACAGTGGCTGACCGCTAGTAAATGGTCAGTGATTTTTATTGAACAAATTGGACTAGGAATTATGTAAATGTATAGAGGGCTAAGATTTTTATCTGTTTGTTTATTGGTAGTGCTGCGGCGGATTGCCCAGCATGCTAGGCAAGTGCACTATCACTGCGCTGTACCTCCAGCCTCAAGTGTGAGCTATAATGTCATTGCTCACTGCTCTGGAAACTGCCATTCACTCCTGCCCAAGTTTTAAGGTATAGATGAGTTCATTTTTGTAAATATGGTTGAAGAAAGGTCTTTAGTTGATCTAAGAGTTCTCATTTTAAGTGATTTGGTTCACTTAAACAGAAATAACAATGTGTTAAATAAATGTACCACTATAATGTGGTACTCGGGGGTTGGGGGGTGAATAATAGATCTTAGTAAGGTTTCTTTTACTGCTTTTTAGATGCTGTTCTGTAGCTTTAAATAACCTGAAACAAAGTCCGTTTGGCAAATCACTATGTTTCATTTGGCCTCTTAACACTTGTTCCTCATTCCCAAGATCTTCAAAGATGGTAACTGTTTGGTGAGAGACTCACACCGTAGTGGAAACATTGAATTTCACTTGAAGACTTTCCTCTGGTTTGTTTCAGCATTGAGAGAAACTGATTGGCCCCAGCCCTTTGCTCAAACCTGTCACTATTTCTAAGTCTTTATGAAGCCTTTCATGATCTGGTTTCTGCTACCTTACCAGCCCCTCCCCACTTAACCTACAGTCATGAATTTAAATTAAGAGAATTATGTAAAAAATAAATAAGTAGTTTAGAGTTCCTGTTTTTCCTACCCTACCCTCCAGGGGTATGAAAACAGTCTTCTAGAACTAGTTCTTTCTGTTGTGTATCATAAATCCCCAAACAAATGCAAACAAACAAACAAAAACCCACAAAACTATCTGGTGGCAGAGACTCCATGTACAAGGTATGCTATTTAAATCATAAACTTCCTGATGTTTCTTCTTTGGTTATGTTTCTCATTAAATTGTGGATTGATTTGATAGTGCTATGTTAGTTCTTTGAGTCTTAGCTTCATTCTACCCCTGGAAAGGACTTTAGAGAAAGCCTACATTTATCTCTTTAGTGATATGGTCTCTACTGAGATCGTTAGGAGACTGATAACTGGCTTTCCCTTCCCATTGCACTAACACAGTTTTGTTTTTTAAATTGTTTCCAACTGTCTTCCTTCTCTTTGTACTGTGTCCCTGAATTATGACTGTAGTTACATAAAGAAGATAGGTTCCTTTTTCTCTCATTTCTTTTTCTTTTCTCTCTTACCCCTTCTTTCTCCCTTTTTCCTTTTTTTCTTTTGTATATAAGTTTTAAAAGTTTCCTCAAAGAAATCAAATGATTTCTGTAGAGTAAAATCCTTGTCACAGCTTAGTGGTTGGTTCGTGAAAATTAAATTTTAGTTAGTTAAACAGCTAACTTGTTTGCCTACCATATTTTATTATAGTAAGAAACTTAGCTATCCTCTATTAACAGATTTGAAAATATACCATATATTATTTTGGGCAGACACAGTGTTGTACAGCAGATCTCTAGAATCTTTCTTCTGTAACTGAAATATTTTACTCTTGTAAACTAAACTCAGAGAAACAAAGAATAGACTAGTGGTTACCGGGCACTAGGAGCAAGGAGGTTCGCAGCCACCAATCAGTAAGGAGCTATTTTCCTTCGGTGAGTAAACTTGGCTGTGTGCAGGTATGCGATCAGGTGTACTCGATGTAGAAAGGAAAGAGGGAATTTGGTGATTTGATTCTCCTGTAAAGCAGCAGTTGCTCTTCTAGTTCTGAGGTTTCCTGCTAACAACCATATCACTACTCTCCTATCCCGGGACAAAATAGAAAAAGAGAAACTACCAAGACTGCTTCTTCCAAAACACTAGCATGTACAGGTGTTCCCAAATCTTGACAGAAGAAACACGTGAAGGAGAGGCTTCAGTTAGCGACCCTTTTCTCACCAAATTGATAACATTTTATTTGATAATTAGTTAAAAAACAAAGCTTCTTTTTGTGAGCACAGCTAACCCTGTTACACTAATATAAGAATACCAGGATTTGGGTCATCTGAATGTCACCAACAGGATCAAAATTAAGTCTGAGCAGACACACTTATATCTTACAGGACTCACCATTACTATTTTCCCACGTTATGTATAGCTCAGTATATTCGACCAGTCATTTTGATCACTGTGTATGTAATTTCAGTACTGCCTGGTTCAAATTAGCAATCTAGGTACTTTGGCCTTTGTTGATAATGACTTACTGACTTTGCTAATGACTGTGTTAACTACCAACCTTACAGTCTGAATTGCCAGCCTCTCCTCCCCACTAGACCATTTTTCTCTCCTTTCTTCTCCTCTAATCTTTCTTTCTTCTTCACCCCCTCTCCTTCACTCCTCCATGATTTTCTCAGGGCTGGGCTTCAACATCGTCGGTGGGACAGATCAACAGTATGTCTCCAACGACAGTGGCATCTACGTCAGCCGCATCAAAGAGGATGGGGCTGCGGCCCGGGATGGGCGGCTCCAGGAGGGTGATAAGATCCTTTCGGTGAGATATGGCTTCGGCTCCCTTTGCTATACTTTGCTCCCTTGACCTCCTCTGACCCCTTGCTTGGGAAGATTCCTATCTGCCTGTTTGGAAATGAATTACCTAGATTGTATGATTAAATGGGAAGAACATTGATGAGTCTTCCAACTTTACCATTGGTCTTAGAGGATAGTATTCTTGCTTGACAGATAAGGCAAATTTAACATAGAATGTGAAGTTACTTGCCCTAGTTCAAAAAAACAAAGCAAGTAGAGATGAAGGATTGGTTTGGAGGAAGGAGATTTAAACCCACAGTTTTCATTTTTGTCTTGTTAACTTTATCACCTCTCTTTTGTTGATTAAAACACTTACTTATGCCTTTTCTTGGGATGCTGTCAGCCTTTACTAATGGTCTTAACTTTAAAAAGGGAGGTAAGGATTACGTTTCTTCCTTCAGTTCAGGGCCCTTCCTTTCTCAGTGTTAAGATGAAAAATTGAAATAGAGTTTGGATATCTGTCAATTGTGCTCCCATTTCATCCTGTTAATGTCTCTTACTGTATAATAATCATGAATCTTATTAATTTTTTATATACTCAAAGACAGTATTTAGATTTCCTTTTAACTTTCCATATCTTAGTACAGTACTCAACATAGGCTTAACATGAGCAAATCAGAAAATTCATGCAAACTTAGAAAGGTTGAACAGTCATATGGGCTCACAGAACCTTAGCCTTTTAAAATCATTTATTATTTTAAGTATGTGTGTGTGTATTTGTGTGTGTAGGGGGATATGTGCACATGAGTGCTGGTGCCCATCGGAGCAAGAGGTATTGGATCCTCCTGGAGCTAGAGTTACTGGCAATTGTGAGCTGTTCCATGTGGTTGCTGGGAACCGGACTCAGGTCCTCAGAAAGAATAGTACATGCTTTTAACTGCTGAGCCATCTTCCCAGACCCAGACTCTTAGTCTTAGAATAAATTGAATACTCCTAAAGTAAATCAGAGTCCAGGCAGAATAAAACTTGAAAAACTCCTATTTGTGGCTGTCTCTTTTATTTCTGTTTTACTCACTGACTACAGTGTTGTTATTATGTTACCAGTTGTGGTAGTTGGGGAAGGTTAGGTCATGCTATAGATTTTTTAAAATTAATATTTTGGGCTGCTATTGCTTAGTTTATTTGTATGGAAATAACACACATAATGGGTATAAAGAATGGGAAAGTACTGAGAGAGTGAACTGTTATCAAGGATTTCCTGGGAGATAGACTGGCTGCAAAGGGCTGTTCTCAGATTAAGAGAAATTTGAAGAGGATGGGACTTCTCATGGCAGAAGTGCCCCATTTCCACATGTGCTGTGCATCATGGCCCATGGTCTAAAGAAGAGGAAGTTATTTCCTACTTTGTCTTATGAACTGAATAGGGCAAAAGGGCCAAACTGGTAAAAGGCTGAAGTAAATGAAGTGTAGACCAAGACAAGATTTGATTAAGATTTAATTATTATGTCGGAGACTTGATTTAGAACTTCCATAAAACAAGAATATCCTTTTAAAAGATTTTATTATAGTTTTGAATTTTTGTCTTTTGAATTGCCTGTCATAGAGTTCAGTTGATTAGTGATAAAAGTCATATGTGTGAAGTTTCCTGGTCCTTTTAGATATCAGCTTATTGGATACCTCTCTGCCATCTAATTCATTTGGTAGCAGTATATAAAGGCAGGAAGAATGTATACCTTTTTCCACTTGACATCTGCATGTTTGAGAGATCTGGTTCAGTTTTGAATGTCTCCTTAGAGAGACACACAGCCAGGCATGGCAGCACACACCTGTAGTCCTCTAATACTCAGGAGGCAGAAGCAGGAACATTTTGAGTTCAAGTCAATTATGAATTACTTACTTAGCAAGATCCTGTCTCAAAAAAAGAGATACATATAAATCAGGACAAGTAGTTATGAAAGGTATATAAAATAATTTAGGAAGCTTAAGAATATGTCCAGGCCGGGCGGTGGTGGCGCACGCCTTTAATCCCAGCACTCGGGAGGCAGAGCCAGGCGGATCTCTGTGAGTTCGAGGCCAGCCTGGGCTACCAAGTGAGTCCCAGGAAAGGCGCAAAGCTACACAGAGAAACCCTGTCTCGAAAAACCAAAAAAAAAAAAAAGAAAAAAAAGAATATGTCCAATATATAATTACCATGGATGGCATTATTTTAGTCCAGCTCACTGACTATTTGCCATGTTTCAGTCCACTAAGCTTTTCCTAGTCCCTTTACATTAAACTGCAATATAGGGACAGTGATAACTGCTTTTGTTATGAAAGCAATAATGAAGAATTTAGGAGTAGGTATTTTGTCATCCTCAGAAGAAAGATGTTGTAAAAATACAAACTAACTTTGCAATAGGACAGAAAAGAAAAATTGTGGGTGAGTTGTTAAAGGTACAATGTATAATTAGTATTTTGACACAGAAATCACAATCTCTCCAAACACTAGCACTCTGAAGAGAGACTTGCAAAGTATAGGGTTCAGTATAGAGCTTAAAAAGAGAGTCATGTTCTTTGGAAAGCTTTGCTTAAAGGTGAATTACCTAAAAAAGAATTATGAACAGTTTTAAAGCACAAAATGACAACTTTCAATGTAATCTTGTCTAATATCAGCTAAGAAAACTGAGGTTTGATGAAGTCAGGTGGTTTACAAGTCACATAACTAGTGTTGGGGAAATAAACCTTTCATCTATCTGAATTTGGATCCTTTGCTAAAACTAATACTAATACTAACATTAACACTATATTGTCTTCCTAAAAGGTAAATGAAAAAGTAAGATTAATTACTCTGAAAAGGAAGTTACATAGTGAATAACTAGTAGATGACAGGAAGGCTTTGTAAAAGAACTGAAATGAATCTTTCTATGAAGGCTCGAATTAATGGGATAACCCACTTTTAATCTCAGCACTCAGGAGGCAATTGCAGGCTAATCTCTATGAGTTCAAGACCAGCTTGGTCTATAGAGCAAATTCCAGGACAGCCAGGGCTGCACAGAGAAACCCTGTTTCAAAAAAAGGAAGAAAGAAAAGGGGGAAAAAAAAGTCAAACAGAAAAAGCAGCCGAACAAGCAAACAAAAAAGATGCAAGTAGTGGCTGTTGCTTAGCCAGGCCGCATCGCCTCCTCGTCTGTAAGCGAACCTTGTCGGCTGTTACTTTGAAAAGTTCCATCTGTTTAACTTGCTTCATCCCTAGTGCCTTAAGTTTTCATTTCTTACTGCCTGTGATGTATCTATAAAATGTAGCTAAATTACTGATTAGCTTATTTTGTTCTGTTAGTTATTTTGCAGTTTTAGGGATTGGTGCAGGGCCTTGCACATGCTAGTTTGTGTTCTGCTGTATCTCTTCAGCCCTTTCAGTTTATTTCTAATTCGTTTTCCTATTTCTGTGGAATACTTTCCGTGTTGTAAAATGTGCTCTGTGCTTTTCTGACATTTCCTCAATTATCAGACTAAAACTCTGTTCCTTTTTTAGCACACAGGCACACATAGATAATGTAGATAATGAAGAGAGTCGTTAAGTATGAATTTCCTATGAGTTATTACACTCTTAATTTACTCTTCTCATCCTCCCTAAATATGCTCCATATGTTGTCTTGATCAAGTTCTGGAATGGAAAAACTGCATGATATATTGTGCAGTTTCTTCTTTTCTCATAAGAAGTGGAATTTAATTTTCTTTTTTCTTTTTTAAGATTTATTTATTTATTATGTATACAGTGTTCTACCTGCAGGCCAGAAGAGGGCACCAGATCTTATTATAGATGGTTGTGAGCCACTATGTGGTTGCTGGGAAATGAACTGAGAACCTCTAGAAAATCAGTCAGTGCTCTTAACCTCTGAGCCATCTCTCCAGCCCTGGAATTTAATTTTCTATGGCCACTGCATATGATTTATACCAAAAGATAATAAAAATTTAACTAAGCAATGTAAATACTTATAAAAATACAATCATTTACACTCTGAATGAAGCAGAAGCAGGGGTTCTTAATGAATCTCAAGAACTAGACACTCTTCACCCATTGTTTGTTTTGTGTGTGTTGGTAAGAATGGTTTGATACAGGAAGCGGGGAGGATATTTTTTATGGTAAAGAAAAGGTAGAAGTAAGTTTTTCATTTCTCCTGTGTGCCCAAATGAAGGGAGGGAAGCTAGTAAAGAATAGTCATTCCTCTGTGAACTTTATATCTTTATGAAGTTCATGACAATGTAGCTGGTTCTTATATACTACAGATATGAGTGTTCCATTTTGACCAGCCCCCTAGAAAAGTCATAGTGGTGGCAGAGATTGGACCATTAGTCAGCTGCATTTCGTATTGTTGATGAAGGAGTTTGTTAATCATATATGGGAGGAAGTTAGTGAGAGATTAAACAGATGTGCTGGAGAACTTTTCACATTAGTGTAGTAAGTCAAGAGCACATGTTTTCCTTACTTACCAGTTTCATTTGTATGTTTTGAACAGTACAATAGTTACTAACAGAATTGTATTGTAGGAAAGTGGATTGTGAGATAGCATTTAAGGTAGGAATGGGGAGAAACTGTGGAAAGTGAATCAGAAAAAAATCACTAATTAAGTTAAGTATCCATAACCTAAATTGGCAGCCTTAGGAGAGAAAATAGTATAAAGTCATGGTGTTAGGCTGCAAGACAGATACTACATGTGCCAATTAACTGACTACAGAGTGTTTAAAAATTATACATCTAAGTGAAGGGGTAGGAGTGTCATTAAGAGAGAAGTTAGGATATTCTGCTTTTGTGGAAAGTTATAAAGAGACTTTGGATATACTGAATTGGATTCTACTTAGATAATCCAGATTATCTAAGTAATCCATATTATCTAAGTATCAGCATCCAGCAGGACATTGGTAAATCCCAAAGCATAAGTAGAGTTATTTTGGAGAATATGGTAGAAATGGTGAAAGATGACCATGTGAGAAAATCAGAAAGAAAAATAGTTACCAATCAAGAATTTATACCTACTTTGAGAAAGAGAGAGAGAGACAGAGAGACAGACAGAGAGACAGAGAGAATGAGAATGGCACAGTAATCAAGGAAAAAAAACCAGAGAGCTAAGTATTCATCATCTAACATAGAAGATGATTACAAAAGGAGGTGGTCTACAAGTTGTGAGAAAGTGGTTAAGAGTTGTGTATTTGAAGTCCCATCTGACCTTCAGGAGAGATTGTTGTTTCACTTTATATATGAAGGGAATAAATATTTAATGGATGTGGAGGAAGTACACACAGTACATGCACACAGTTGTTTGTTTGTTTGTTTGTTTTTATTGTGCATGGTGTTTTGCCTGTGTGTATGAATATGTGTGTATCACGTGTGTGCCGGGTGCCTGCAGAGGCCAAATGAAGGCATCAGATCCCCTGGAACTGGAGATAGAGATGGGTGTAAGCTGCCATGGTGCTGGGAACTGAACCCAGGTTGTCTGGAAGAACAGCCAGTGCTCTTGGCCAAAGAGTCATCTCTCCAGCCCTGCAAACGTTTTTTTCAACAATTTTTTGCAGGGTAAGAAAAAGAAGAGAGGAAGGGTTCAGCTATGTACATCCATTGTTTTCTTTATAGAGGATAGTGGCTTTAGTTGAGAAGGAGCAGCAAAAGATAAAATCAGAAGAGAGTGACTGAGTTTTGTAAAGACATAGTAAATGGGTTATTCTTGAGAAATATAATAGACTTAATTAGAGATGAGGGAAAAGGAACATCAAGGGTGTAGCTTGAGTTTTCCTGCCTGGCCCACAGTCAGGACAAATCTCTGACACCCGACAGTCCCACAGCCATTCAGACCCAACCAAATAAACACAGAGACTTATATTGGTTTCAAACTGTATGGCCATGGCAGGCTTCTTGCTAACTGTTCTTACAGCTTAAATTAATCCATTTCTATTAATCTATACCTTGCCACGTGGCTTGTGGCTTACCGGTACTTCACATGCGGCTTGTCATCATGGCGGCTGGCAGTGTCTCCCTCTCCCAGCTTCCTGTTCTCTCAATTCTCCTCTCTGTTAGTCCCGCCTATACTTCCTGCCTGGCCACTGACCAATCAGTGATTTATTCATTGACCAATCAGCAACACATTTGACATACAGACCACCCCATAGCACAGGGAATATCAGAATTTGAGGGAGAAGATAAAAGGGAAAGAGTGAGCTGCCTTCAGTATTCTCACAAAGGATAAAGCAAAGGAATCTGCTGAAGGGAATCAGGGTCAGGATAATGGAGAAGATGTGTAACAGATATTGATGAGTATTTATTAATGAGTTTGCTTGATGAATAGTACGGTCTTAAAGATAAGCTGTAGCAGCTAACCTGGATCTGTGTACAGAATGTGACCATGCTTTTCTGTGGGAATACTCAACTGAATGACGGCAAGGAACATAGATGCAGTGTATTCCCAGGACTGGAAAGATGTCAGGTAACCAGGACAAGAGACTCTAATAATTTATGAGGTGCTTTGTTGAATTTACAGCCAAAATCCTAGATGGGCAAATGCAAGTGAAATATGAAGAGGTTAAAAGCACTGATAACAATAAAGAGGAAATCTAATGGAGGAATAAAAGTATGAAGAGCAGAAATTGTGGTCAGGTTTTTAGAGTTGGATATTTGTCTAGTATATCTAATGTTAATGTCTGAGTTTGTCTCAATTGGTAACTTGAAAAGAAATTATTGAAAATATTCAGTCTTTAAAATAAAAGTGTTGGTAGCTTCACTTATCAAAGATACTAGCAAGACTTAAGAGTAGAAGGAACACTATAAATCTGTTACAGAAGGAAGACATTAGGTTTTGATGGGGCTAGTGGTTCACGATGACACCGAGATGGACTTCTGTGGGGTAATCAGACTCTTCTCTGTATATTCTCACTAATGCTATCAAGCCTGCCTCTGACTACTTTCTTCTGTTGACTACTGTCTCACCTATTGTGAGTGGGAAATTTCCCCAGCTGCTGTGTTTCTCAAGCTCCATCTCCACTTCTCAATAACAGACTTGGTCAGGACCATGTACATAAGCTCCCCCACTGGACTTTTCCTGGGCTTCCAACAAATGAGAACAGTACACAGGCTTGATCTGTCTCAGTACCCTCTTGACCAACTCACTCTGTCTAAAACCTAACCTAAGACTGTGATGAGAATGCTGAGAAGAACAGACATGTAAATAGCTTCAGCTTCAGCTAAGGGGCAGTTAGCAGGTCAGGGTGGGAAAATAGGAACATTCAAAGAACAGTGAAATGCAAGGAAACTTCTTCATTCCAGTATTTAAAATCTGTAGCCCTAGCTTCTACACTCAGGATCTCTGTGTCAATTACTTCATTAAGAAAAGTTAGTATAAAAATGCGGTCTAACTCATAGGGTAACTGTAGGAATTAAATTTGATAGTGTATGTAAAGTACAGAATCTACTAAATCTAAATATTCTTTCTGCTAGTGCTGTTAATAGTGACAGTGACATGTATAAAAAATATGCAGTCTTGCACAAAGTGGCATGTGTTGAGTTACTGAGTGCAGTATTGATACCACTTGTGATTCCTAATACCAGAAAGAGTACTAGTGCTTTACATTTGTCACCTCTGTGTAGTAGGAATGACCTACATCAAGTGATCTTAAAGGTGCGTATCGTCATATACATAGATATTTAGTAAATGTGAGGACAGGAATATACATGGAACCAGTGGGAATTGTTCACAATAAGATAAGCTCACTAGAATGGGCTAGTGTAGATTTACACAATATGGAAATAAATTTGGGAACATAGAATTAGGTTTCCAGGGCTGAAGCTAGAAATGCTGAGGATTAGGAATATAAAGGATAAGGGGATAACCGAGAAGATTCCTGATGTTAGCTATATAGAAACAGACAAATATCCACAGGTGCTATGCACATACAGTAACAGAAACCCATACATCCAAACAAGATAAGCACAGAAGCTCAGAAGGAAGAGAAAGGAATCTATTTAAATCTGGGTTCATTTCAGATGGTTCATGGACCCTAAGTTGTAGGAAAACCTAACTTTGAAAGTGAAGAAACTTCCTCCTGAGTGCTAAGTATCTTAGCCCATACTCCTAGCCCTTGGGATTTGCCCTGAAAGAGTTTGGTTTCATTTTTAATAAAGGGATGGTTGCCTGCATGAAAGTAAATTGTTCACTTATGAGACTTAGTCCCTTGCCTTTCTTAGCTCTCTTTCTTGCTGTTTTTGAAAGGTAAATGGCCGAGACTTAAAGAACCTGTTACACCAGGATGCTGTAGACCTCTTTCGTAATGCCGGATATGCTGTGTCCCTGAGAGTACAGCATAGGGTAGGTATCATCCAGCCAGATATGGGACAGTAGGCTTTCTCACTGCACTTGTAAATAAACTTGTGGATGTAATCTTCAAAGTCTGCTTTATTTTTTTTCTTCTGCTATTACTGCTTTGTAGGGTTTGTCTAGCATATGCAGGAGTCGTTTGGCATTTCTGTTTATTAGTAAAAGAAGTGTATAACACTATACTTAGAACCCAGGTCCTACCTTCAGTGTAATTTTTTTTAAAAAAGATAAAGTTTAATCAAGTGAAAAATGGAAAGAAAATAGAATCACTTTCACTTTTTGTTAGGGAAAGCACTATTTGTGTACCTTTGAAAACTCTTATTTATGACTACAAAGATGGTTATGTTTTCTGTCTCCTGTTATAAGGCTTCTCCTTCCATGACCACATTGGCTAAGACCTGAGTGCATCTTGAAGGGCAACTCTTAAGAAAAAGGAAGTGGAATTAAGACTTCTTACATCTGCTTCTTTTTTCTTTCTTTCTTATTTTTTTGAGACAGGTTCTCTCTATGTAGCCCTGGCTGTTCTGGAACTCACTCCGTAGATCAGGTTGGCCTTGAGCTCAGAGATCTGCCTGCTCTGCCTCCTGAGTGCTGGGATTAAAGGCGTGTGCTACCACTGATAATTTGGATGATAGGAAGGAGGTCCGAGTTCCTCTTACAGCACCAGGGATTTCTGAGTTCATCTATAGCCCAAGTTCACTGTGCCTATGATTCTTTCTTAACTTGGTCTGCTCTTTGCTAAGAGGCCAAGTGAGGATTCAAAGGCTGAAGAAAATTAAAAGGAGCTAGTAAAAAATTGGAGAAACAGAAGCTAACTTGAACTACATGGTGATACTCTTGTTTTATAGAAAACAAAAACTAAAGAAAAGAAAAATAAGAAAGGCAAAATATAAAGCTATCCAAGAAAGCAACCAGAGTTGCAAACAGAATGTGAGTGTGATAGCATTGCAGACTTAGGCATGGGGGACAAGGTTCCATTTTCGGAGCAAGAGGATGACTTGGAAGCTGTATAGTGTTTCTAAGTAATGTCATTGCAACTGTGCTGACACTGTCTGGATCTGCTCTTACTGTGTTCTAATGACTGATATTCTTTGTAAGTAAATATTTCCAAAAAGAAGTCTCCTTTCCTCTCCCTTTGCTGCTTAGCAATGTCCAGACTTCCTGAAGGATCATAGGTTTCATCTCATCCCTTCATTTTTCTGATAGGAAACATATATAGCAAGATAGAGGCATTATAGAAACAAATGATTTACTTTACCCTGTGAGGTCCCATTAAGTCAGTACCAACCAAAGTTAAATGCTTCCCTATCAGCACTGTTCTTCTCAGAGTATCTGTGAAAGTGATGCATCAGCTAGGACAAGACCTCCTTCTGCTAGGTTGTGTGGGGTTTATAGCTTTGGATGGTGTAGACTACACCTCCAGGTAATTGTCAACTTGGATATTTTAGTTGTGGCATATGCAGTAGTCAGATTTAATATTTCTCCTTCTCTTTCAGTTACCAGTGCAGAATGGACCTATAGTACATCGAGGTGAAGGAGAACCAAGTGGTATTCCTGTAGCCATGGTGCTGCTACCAGTGTTTGCCCTCACCATGGTTGCAGTTTGGGCCTTCGTGAGATACCGAAAACAGCTTTGAAATGCTTGCGGTCTTCCAGTGTGTCCAATGAACTAACTGTTTCTCTCACTCACCTCCCCTGCCAGTCTCCCTTATCCTTTCTCCTCTACATAGCCAACACATGATTTAAAGTGACTGATTACCACTCAAAACCTTGCTCTTCAAACTCGCCAAGACTTCAAATTCTAATGGGAGGGTGAAGGTATTATTTGAAGAAAAGCTTGTGGGGGAGGGAGAAGCCTTGCTAAGAACAAATGAGAAGTTACATTTTTACTAGAACTGCCAATAAAATTTCAGCTATCACCCAAAGAGGAAAAGCTCAGTCTTCCTGTTACCATGGATGACACCTTTTTCTTAGCTGGCATGTTTGAAGGCTAGCTGTGCTACATGGAAGGAGGAGTTGATCTTTACTTTTTTTCTTTTCCTTTTAATGCTTTTCCTTGTGAAATGTCTGTGGCCTTTAATTTGTAACTCTATACCTAGATGCCTATATTGGACACAGGCGAATGAAGTTTGTTTTTTTTTTAACTTTCTTCAAAAAGAAATATATACAGTAGTACACATATGCATATATGATAACACAACACTGATGCCTTATAAAAGGGGAGAAAACCATACTGGTTCCTGGGTTTCTAATGAACAATTTTTTGGGACTAGGGGATCATCATATTCCTTCATATATAATCAAGACTCATATTAACAATGAGTTCTGGATTGTAAAGAGAACCTCCTTGCACACTTGTCTGTAAGTCATTGTCCACAAATTGAAAACACACACAGTGCTAAGGGATGACTGTCACTGAAGCAGGAACTCTTTGCAGAGCGTGTATAGTGGAGATGGGAAAATGATCTTTAAAAGAGAATGCTCAATCAGTGGCATTAGGAAATAATAACAGAAACAACGGATTGGAAAATGTAGAACAAGTGTCACACGGTAGCTACGGTGATGTGGTGAAGTGTACTAGAACAGCTCTGCTCAAGTCAATCTCTTCAAAAGACTTTGAGGTATAAAGTCAAGTCCTACCAATCTCTGAACCAGCCTAGTTGGTATTTAACAGTGCTGTTAAAGGGTCAACTGGAATAGATAAGGGCAGCAGTAGGGCCCAAAGAACCAGAAGGGCCAAAAGTTGTCTTGATAGACAACTGAAAAAAAAGATCATGCCTCAAGGTGGCACTTGAACCCTCAAGGCTACTTAACAGTTTTCAGTTTCTAGTATCAGGCAAAACCTTAGGAACTGCCTTTCTGGTAGGACTGACCTAAAATCAGCCTGCTTCTGATTAAGATAAGAAGGCCTGAATTGGTTTTGTTTACCTCCCCCACCAAAAAAAACCACCCCTCTAAGCACTAGCTTTGATTTTAATAAGTCAATGGACCATTTTTCAGAGAAGGGGAAGGAATAAGTTTTGTTTGTTTGATAGAGGGGTCAAGGAAATTTGGTGATTGTTTCCAAGGAAAGCCTGAGAATAGAGTGTGGATGAGTAGATGCCGGAGAACAGCAGGGATATTGGTGAGGTGGGAGCCATCCTGTTCATGTAGTGTCTAAGTTGGTTTTAGAGTGCCGAGGATAGTTGAACCAAGCCTAGTTTTTTTAACAAAATAATTTTTATCTTCTAAATATATTGGCCAGACTGTTATTTTGACAGAAGATTATGAGTTTTCCTGACAATCTAGCAATTACTTAACAAGTGTTGGTTGCACATTAGTTTTGTCAAGACACCTGTACAAAGAAGGGAAATAAATGCACAGACTTCATCTGAAAGGACATTGTGATTACAGTTAGGAAGAGAACAGTTAAAATGGAATTAGCCACGTAAGTGTAAGTTGTTGTTTCTATTGTAGACAACAATAGAAAATAGCTCTTGCGAATTGAGCGTCCCATAGAGGAAGGGACAGGTGCTAACTGTCTAGTAAGAGCATTCATAAATAGGTGAGAAAAGTCTATCAGGTTGAATAATAAATGAAACCAGTATGGAAAGAAATGTTGCCATGCAAGATAGAGCACAGTGTGGCTACAAAGATGACCAACAGGTGTTTTAAAGAATTCAGAAAAGGAAAGCTATTGTGTAGTGGCATCAGAGTAGAATGGAAAGTCTTAAAAAGTCTGATGAGACTTTGCCTCTGGGTAAACTGTTGATACAGGGAGAGATTTGCTTTTAACAGTCTTCACATAACTAAGCCATTCAGTACTTTTTGAAATTGATTTAGTAACAGGAGTTATTCTAAGTCCCACAGAAAATGCAAAAACAAATTGTAGTTCTTGTTGCAACCAGCACCACTGTGGAGGCCCAGTGTCTGGTACCCTCCTTGTATTCAATGGCATCTAAAGCGGCTTCTGCCATGGGCCTGTTTACCCCTACTATTCACTTCAGGGTTTGAAATTTATTGTTGAAGATGGTCACACATACAAATTGAAACAAATGGCAAGAAGGATAGAAAGCTGTTGTATGTTGATATATGTAAATACAAAACATCTTTGGTGGGAATTTTACTTTGGTTGATAGGAATTTTAATTCACTTGGGTCTCCTTGGGAAATAAACAGCACTTGACCAAAACATTTAAGATTTAGGCAAATACTTTAGTATTTCACTTTTGGTTGTATGAAAACTAAAATTAGCATAGATGGGATGTTAAGAATCCATTATAGATTGTAAAAAATTTATGTTTATCATAGACTGACTCTGATATTCCTATTACCTTCTAGACTATATATGATGCTTCTGCCACATAAATTATAATGTTTAAAGTTTTGAATATTGATTATAGGTATATTTAAAGTATTTTTCTTGTATTTATCAATGTGTTTTTATATATAATTCTAATAGATATTGTTTGCTTCAGTCGTTTCTGTTTCCTTTTCCTGCAGTTTTCTATATGAATGATTTCATGTAATTAATTGGACCATCTAGCCACAGGCAACAGATAAAAATAGTATTTGTAATTACAGTCTATGCCAGGGCTGTACTAAATTGACTGGTGACACTATATATAACCTTGAGATCCAAGTATTGTTATAAAGAGACTGAGGATGAGAGAATAAATTATTTTCTAAGATTGTATAGGTGGTAATATAGAATCATGATTTAAACTCAGGACTTTGGGTGACAGTATCAGTAATATTCCCATTGCTAACAGTTCTCAAAGCAAGGTCTCTGGACAAAAGCATTAGTTTTCCCTGCAAATTCTTGGGCATCATCCCATACTTACGGAGTGAGACGAGCATGGCAACCAGCAATTCTGTCCTTCTAGGTAACTGACTAATGCTGAAGTTTGAGATTCACCACTGTCTAGTTAGAATCACTTGGACAGCTGGTCAACCCACATTAAATAAGGACCTTTGGGACTAGGACTTGGACAATAAAATATGTTTCACGAGGTAGCTAAAATGTGCAGCCTCTATTGGAAATGTTCCATGGCATTAAATTATCAGATCACCTGCAGACGAGGCTCTAGCCAGAATCAAGAACTTGGCTAAGTTCAGAGCCCAGCTCTCTGAGAGGTGGAGTAAGAAGTGGAACATTGTTTTACTCCTGTGTGCTCAGGACAGACTGATCAACCTCTGGTAATGTATGTGCAGCCATATAAGAACCAAATCATAGGATTGTGACTCTAATAGACTCTTGGATAAAATTTGTATTAGAAGTGAGAAAAGTTAGTGGGTTTTTTTTGTCTCAAATTTGTTTTGAATGTCACCACTATAAGAATACATACAAAAACTATATTTTAAAATCTCATTTTACTTCCATCTTTTCCCAATGGGCTTTCAATAAAGACCAGAAGAACTGATAGACAGCTAAAGAGGATTGTAGGCATCAAGATTTGAATGGGAGAGTACATTGAACAATCCAATAAACCCAATCACGTGTTGTTTTAAGTTCAGTAGTTTAAAATTAGATATGGGCTGTTTGTGGTATTTTTTATTGTGCAAATAAGCAATTAAAATATATTTAGAGGCCAAGCATGGTGGTACATGTCTTCAATCCCAGCATTTAGGAGGTACAGGCAGAGACAGGCAGATCCCTGTGAGTGGAGGTCAGCTGTGTGTGTGTTTCAATAAAGATTTTATTCTACCCACTTTTAGTGGAAAGTATCTTTGATAAAGATTTTTTTCTTCATCCAGCAGATAACCATCAACACCAGTACAGCAATATAAAGATAAAATTTAGTCACTAAATTGAAATAGCCCAGCAACTGAGATGGGTGATCTTGATGTTAATGTATCTTTCCAATATCACTGAGAAGTACACATTTTGAGTTCTTAAGCTCTCTACCTCTCACAGTAGTTTAAGGGTTGGCTGTTAAACCAGGCTAAGCCTTTTTTGCTATTCCTTTTAATTGCAAATCTTTTTTTGAGATTAGCTCTCACAGCCTACAGTGCAATTATGATTAAGGGGTGTGGCGGAGAGACAGTATTTTAAAGAACTCTACCCAATGGGAACCAGATTGTGAACTGCCATTGACTCTTGTGTTGCTATCTATATATAGAATACAAAGCATGTGACTGTTTACCTGATGCACTTGATACTATAGAACTCTACAGAAGAATGCTCTATTGGTATAAGGAATCTAGCTCCAGTAAACACTAATGCCTGTAACTATAAGTTCCCTCATTGTTACGTTCTATTTTAACAGAGGAGAAAGAGAAGGGAAGAAGACTGATGTAGGTTTTCAAATGCCATTTTATTATTAATCAGCAGATTGATTTACAAAAGAGCTGTGTAAATATATTGACTAGTCACAGGAAAATGGGATGGTCCTTTTCATAGTTACAAATGAAGTAAGTAGGTTTACAAATGAAGACACAGATTAAATCCTGTTTTTGTTTTACTTCTGTGTCTCCAATACTAATTTGAATGAATTTGTTATTACTGAATACTTGTACACCTTCCAGGCCATTTAGTTCTTGGAAAATTATCTTCCTTAAATGCTGTATGTTGTTTCCTTTCTGCTCTGACTCTTATGTCCCCCTTGCATCCCTGAATGTAAACAGCAGCTGTTTCACAGGTTAGATGCCTGAGAGCTACTTGGAAAACAAGTAGACACAAGACCACATTAACTAAGAAGTATCACCACAAATCCGGTGTTGATGCTGATTTCAACCTCACTGTTTGATACCAGTGCATCCAGATTTGCCCGTTGAACTATGACATTCAATAAAGACCTGTTGAACTTGTTTGAATATCTACAGTCTTGGATTTTTTTCTTTTGGAAACTATTAGTAACTAGTTCCTTAGTTTTCTGTCACTTTAAACCAGCAACACTGATGGGACAATGGGAAGAGAAAAGAAACCTAAATTTGAAGCTTACTTTTGGCAGAACAGGTAAACATTAGGACTCAGCACTGCTAATAGAGGTGCTCACCAGTGTTGTAGGTATTATCTGAAGCCCTGTTGTTATATCCATTTTATGATGAGACGAACAAAGCATAAAGAGGTTAAGAAACTTGCCCAGTTTCCTGCCAATAACTTGACAGTTACTAAACGTCAGCTAGGATTTAAAGGCAGGCAGTCTGGCTTCAGAACTTTATATGGCTGAACACTACTTTCCAGGTGCTAGACGCTATATTTTGCTACCCATTCTCAACATCAGATTCTCAAAACTACAAGGCAGTACGAATAGTCCCATCTTTATAGATAAAATAACTTGATGTTTAAAGAAGATAACTTGTTCCAGATGTGTAGCTGTTTAGTTACCTGATCTAGCGGTTTACTTCAAACCAGTAAGGACTCCTGTAGTCTTGAACTACTTCAGAAAATGAAAGCATATATTTAATTTGATCCAATCATGCTGTTATATTTTTCCATTATGGGCCATAATATGAACTTAAGTGTACTAAGGTAAATGCTTTCTAGGCAAAGTAGCAGCACCATTCTGTCTTTATATCCAGTGTTTGAGAGCAATTACCAACATTTACTCAACCTCTTCTATTACCCAAACCTAAGATGGGAAGCAGAAGCAGTTTTTTACCATAGTTTAATAAGGACTTAATAGATGTGAAAATGAAGCTTTATCCTGTGAGTTTGTATAGAGCTGAGTTTGATTTTTTATAAGGGCAATTTATATTGTTGATCATTGATGTCAGAGTTTAGACATAGCTCATTTGGTGGTCTGTAGTATATAGGATGACTATTGTGAAAGACAAGGTATGTCGGTTATCAGTTACATACTGAACGCAAAAAAAAAGTGGCTTACTGCAACAATGGATCAGTAATTCTTTGAAAAGTGAAAATTCTGTCTAGTGATTATTTCTTCTGCTGCTAACATTGGCTGTAGTCACCACTGGCTGAACATGACTGCACCTAGATGGGTACTACTGCACAGAGATGGGTGGTCCAAGGTGTTTTTTCCTCTGTGCCTGGCAGTGCTGACTGTTGACTGGAGTGCCTTGGTTTTCCTCCATGTGGCCGCTCGTCTTCCAGTAGAGCAGATTAAGCTTTTACACAGCATTGAGGGTGGGGTCTTCAGAAGAGCATTTCAAGAAGGGCAAATCCCAATGCAAAAGTAGTTATCAAATCTAGACTTTTGTCCCACTTGTTAGTATCTTTTAAAAAGTGTTTGGTTTTTTTTTATTATTTATCTTTATATCTTTAGATGTTACCAGATTTCCTGGTATTTTACAAACATTTGGTCACATCAAATTAGTGAACGAAATGTTATTTGCTTCCCCCAAATCTTTATTTTCCTGCTACAGTCTGCAGCTGGCTCAACATGAGAATTTAAATACAGCATCACTTAGATTTTGTCCAACAAGGCCTCCACAGTGTGTCAGACAGACTTGGCTTATAAATAGGACTCAAGAGGAGTGAGATAGATGTCAGCAAAGAGAGAATCCATTAGACACTCATCAAATGATTTAGCTTCAATATTCTGTGTTGTGGGGGATATTCTTCCATACCCACTGTCCTGAGCAGCAGGCAAGGCCCTCCAGTTTCTGTTGAAGCTGAGGATAGTGGTCATCTCATCACTCAACTCTTCCAGGATGGAGTATGGAATGAACAGCAACAAAACAACAAAAAACCCAAACCACATCACCACCACCAAAAAAACATCACCAGACCGAAGTCTTCTAACAAAGGGTTTTAAAGCTTGTTTAAAAAAAAAAAAAAAGAAAAAGAAAAATGTAGTGAACCATGGAGGCACAGCCAAGAGAATCTTATTATGTATTAACCTATCTCCCAGTGCTATGGAAGATTAACCATCACTCCCCTCTTCCTTTTAGCCCCTCTTTCTGGCATTAGAGCCAGAGGTAGATAGATGGAAAGGCTTTCTCTGCCTCAGCCTGCAAAATGGCAGAGTGGGTGTTTTGTTCCGCCAAGTTATTGTACTTTCTACCTTAGTTGCTGGTCCCATTAGATGGCCTGTTCCTTTTTCATCTCCATGTTCTTTGAGCCATCCAGCACACAAGCAAGTCGTAAAGTTGCTTAGCCAATGGAAAGCGGGAATTCATTAACTATAGGCAATCGCACATTAAAAGTACTAACATTAAAGGTTCGGTTATAACTGATGAGCCACGATTTAAGAAGTCTTCATTAAGCCGGGCGGTGGTGGTGCACGCCTTTAATACCAGCACTCCGGAGGCAGAGCCAGGCGGATCTCTGTGAGTTCGAGGCCAGCCTGGACTACCAAGTGAGTTCCAGGCGCAAAGCTACACAGAGAAACCCTGTCTCGAAAAACCAAAAAAAAAAAAAAAAAAAAAAAAGTCTTCATTAACTTGGTGAATTACCCACGCTACTTGTGCATTAGTTTCAAAATAACACCCCTGCCTTTTAGCTGAGTTTATTTGTCAAGCCAGAAGACACTAGTCAAGATCCAGAATATGTGAATTACAGGTTTTCCAAATCGAAAATCCAATCGTCCCCGGCGTCTCCAGCGTCCCGGAACCAAAGCTCAGCGGCCTCGAACTTCCGGGGAGAGGGGGGAACGGGAGTGTGTTAGGACGACTCGATTACTTTGGACTGGCGGAGGCCTATGAGGCGAGAACCCGGCACCCGAAGCCAGTGCTGAGTCTACAACTTCGCTTGGGAGACGGCCGAGGCCGCCGGGTTCTAGGCGGTCGCGCTGGGGCCGCTCCGAAGGGGCTAAGCCGACCGCCGCTTCAGCCATGGTTGCGCCCGCCGTGTTGCGCGCTCTGCGCAAGAACAAGACCCTTCGCTACGGAGTCCCCATGTTGGTGAGTGGCTGCGGCCCGAGCGGGGCGGGGCCTCCGGGAGGGGCGGGGCCACCTCTGCCTGGCAGATGTGTGCTGTCTGCAGGATTCCTGTGGCAGCGGCCTGTGCTAGGAAGGGACTGCTAGAGATGTGAGCTGTTAGATTTTTCCTAGTCCACACTCAGAAGTGTACCCCGCGTTTCCCCCTCTCCTTTCCCTTCATGAACGTGCGTGTTGTCACTATTCCGGTTTTACAGTAACCTTTCCTGGGGTTAAAGGTTGAGGTTGGCAGAAGACCAATCAGAGCTGGCGCTCCAATAATTATGTTCATTTGTTGTTTTATCATTGACAAGTTAATTTGCTTTAGCACCCTCCGATATCATATTAAAGAAAATAAGTAAAAGGTTTTAAAAATAGTTTCATTACTTTGGTATGGCAATTGGTACAGGTGAAGTTCCAGCCTTTGTATTTGAGCAGTACTAAAAGAGACTTCAGAGATGTAATAGGTTTTTTAGTCATCTTTGGTGTGTTTTGATTTTGTTTTCATCTTTAGGAAACTCTGCAGTCTGCTTTAAGAGTTTCAAAATAAGCATTAGTTTTTATAAAATGACAACAATTCTTGTAGACAAGGCATGTGTAAAATTTGTTTTCTGAAAGTTCCTCTGCTGTTCAGAAACACTGATTTTAGTCACTGACTTGCAGTCACCCGTCTGTCACTATGGGAACCAATATGATTTTCTTCCTTTTCAAAAACATAAAAGTCAAGAACTTGGTGAAAGACAACCAACGAAACCAAACAAAACAAAACCAAACAAAACCCCCCAAGGGTGAGGCTTTCTGTGTAGACTTAGTTTCCTGCTCTATTTTCAGAGCTAATCAGCAAGGAGATGCCTTCACAGTCAATTTTTAAATGGTCAAATCAAGTGTTAGGAAGACACACTCTGGAGCTATTTAGACAAAACTTTTAAACCTAATTTGTTTTCTAGTCAGCTGCCCTTCCACTAGTAAAAGAAAGAGCACTTTCTATGCCCACCCAATCTGACAGAACCTCCTTTGAGTTCTGAGACTTTTTCTGTTTTATCACACCATAGTCAGGTGTGCCCTGGCAAATTAAGGAAGCCTCCAGCCATGTAACAAAAGTAACTTCTTCAGATGAAGTATTCATTATGATCTTTTACCTGATAGGTGTTTAACCAGCCATTCCTTTCTGTTTGTTACACACAGACAACACACACACACACACACACACACACACACACACACACACTCACTCTTCTAGCGTGTGTATGTGAAATAGCATTCTTTTTATTTAAAAATTATGTGTGTTTTGAGGATTTCATAGATGAGTACTGTATTTACATCATTTCTACCCCTCCCTTCCCCACTCCCACTTCTCCTGTGATCCTCTTCTCCATCTCAAATTCACGACTTCCTTGTTGTTGTTACATGTTGTATGTATGCATGTATAAAGACAGCCTGATGAGTCTATTTAGTGATGGTCTTATGTAATCCAAAATAGCATTCTTTTCTTAAAAGTAGCTAAGAATATTTTATATGCATAATTGTTAAATATAAGCTTTTTATTATGGCTGCTATTTATCTCAAAATCGTGGGAGTTAAGAAGAGAAAGAGCCCTAAAACCCGAGGAGTGACTCTCTAGACTGCAAACGAGGAGACAGTGGGAGAGAACATGCTTAGAGAGGAGAAAGCATCGAGGTGGGACAGTCCCTCTAACGGAGGCACTGATCGAGTTAACACAGAGACTCTAAAGCTAATGCTGTTTTTTTCCATTTGTTTTGTTTTGCTTTTTACACGCCTCCCCTTCCCCAGCGTTTGAACACCTATCACAGACGCTCTCCCCATTTGTTGTCTTTTGAGTTTTAGGATTTTTTTTCATTTTTTTTTAAATGAGAAGTTTTAAAATTATCACTGTGAAGTTTTGTTGCTTTTATCAACCTCAGATTTTGAATTTATATCTCATGTTTTTATACTTTTTATATTTAATTATTTAATCGGTGATATAGGGGTCAAGCTTTTCCCCCCAAATGGCTAAGCCTTTGCTTCTCTGGCCTGAGAATTATAGCCAGTTCAGTTTCTGGTAAAGTAGCAGTGACAGTTTGAAATCTGTCTTAAGGGTTTCTGCAGTGAGAAACACACTGCAAGACTCCTTTATCACTTGATAAGAAAATAAAAGGTGCCGGGCGGTGGTGGCGCACGCCTTTAATCCCAGCACTCGGGAGGCAGAGCCAGGCGGATCTCTGTGAGTTCGAGGCCAGCCTGGTCTACAGAGCGAGATCCAGGAAAGGCGCAAAGCTACACAGAGAAACTCTGTCTTGAAAAACCAAAAAATAAAAAAAAAAAAAAAGAAAGGAAAAGGCAATGTTTTCCAAATGTTCAACTTTGCAAAAGTCATAAAATTGAAAGAAATTCTCCACAGACAAAGCCAGCATTTTATTCCTAGGTTTACCCTATGTAGTTATAGTATTAAAAGAAAAACTTGAGCAGCATTGGCTGCTCCTCCAAAGGTCCTGAGTTCAATTCCCAGCAATCACATGGTAGCTCACAACCATCTACAATGAGATCTGGTGCCCTCTTCTGGCCTGCAGGCAGAACTCTGTATACATAATAAATGAATAAATAAATAAGTCCTTTAAAAAAAAGAAAAGAAAAACTTGAGGGGTGAGAGAGGTGGGTCCCAACTAAGAGCCCTTGCTGCCCTTTCAGAGGACCAGAGCTTTCCCAGCACCCATACCAGGCTGCTCATGATTGCCTGAAATTCCAGCTCTAGGGTATCTGATGCCCACTTCTGACCTCCACAGGTACCCACATGTTCCTGCCCATACATAGACACATGTACACATATGCATTCATACATACACAAATGATAAATAAATCGTAAAAAAAAAAAACTTTAGGCAAACAATTTTACTGATTTTGCATAAGCAAAGAAAGCTCATGAGACAACTGAACCAAGCTCATGGGAACTCATGATCTCTGGATTGACAGCTGTGGAGCCTGCATGGGACAAAACTAGGCCCTCTGCATGTGGAAGGCAGTTGTGTAGCTTGGTCTGTTTGAGGGGCTTCTAGCAGTGGAATCAGGATCTATCCCTGTTGCATGAGCTGGCTTTTTGGAGACCATTCCCTATGGTGGGATGCCTTGCTCAGCCTTGATGCCGAGGGGAGGGACTTGGTCCTGCCCCAGCTGAATGTACCAGGCTTTGTTGACTCCCCATGGGAGGCCTTACCCTTTTGGAGGAGTGGATGGGGGGGTGGATAGGCAGGGGCAGGAGGAGGGATGGGAGGGGGAACTGTGGTTGGTATATAAAATAAATAAAAAATATTTTAAAAAAGGCTCATGAATCAAGCCACACTTGCACTCAGAACCTGAAGAGGTTCAGAGAGTTCTGTCCTGCTGAGTTCTTTCTTTTATAGACAAAGAAACTACAAAAATAAGTTAATTGGCTAGAATTAGACATTTGCAGTTTTTTTGACTTGGTCTGATCAGTTGACCAGTCGAGTTTTCTGTTTGTTTACCTTCTAAGGTTACATAAATTCTCTAAACGAATTTAGGTACGGAGACAGCTTCACTCCAAACTTAATACTTTGCAGTAGCGTATCATTTAGTTGGGTGTGCTTTTATTTCCTCTTGAATTTGGAAACAGGAGGATCACAAGTTCAAGGTGACCCTCAGGTACGTAGCAAGTTCAACCTCATCTTGGTGAATAAGACCCTGTGTCTTAGTTGGTGTTCTATTGCTGTGAAGAGACACCATGACCACAGCAACTCTTACAAAGGAAAACATTTAATTGGGGCTGGCTTACAGTTTCAGAGGTTTAGTCCGTTGTCATCATGGTGAGGAGCACAGTAGCATGCAGGCAGACATGCTGCTGGAGAAATAGCCTAGAGTCCTATACCCAGATCTGCAGGCAGCAGGAAGAGAGAACTTGGGCTTCTGACGCCTTGAAGACCACCCCCAGTGACACACTTTCTCCATCAAGGCCACACCTCCTAATCCTTCTAAGTAGTGCCACTCTCTGATGGCTAAGCATTCAAATATATGAGCATATGGGGACCATTCTTATTCAATTTGAGACCACACCATGTCTCAAAAACCAGCAAACCAGAAAAGTCAGACACATGTGTGATGATTTATAGCCATCAGTAATGATCTATTAGAACTTTTCCAGGATAGTATAGTAGCCTCCCTTGCTGAGGTTTCATTTACTGTGTCTCAGTTGTTGTCATAAAAAAGAAAAGAAAAGAAAAGAAAAGAAAAAGAAAAACATGGAAAGTTCCAGATATAAATAATTCATAACCTTTAAATGGCATTTATTACAATATATTGTCACTGTTGTACTTTATTATTAGTTATTGTGCTAATCTTATTGTGCCCATTTTGAAAATTAAACTTTAATAATAGGTATATATGTATAGGAAAATACATAGTGTATTTAGGGTTCAATATTTGTCCAGGTGTCCCTCGAATGCCTTTGAAGGTAACCCCACCACATCTACTTTTAAGTGATGAGTAATAATTTCCTAGGAGAAGTACTCTACGTTTTTTATAGTCTGTCCTAGGCTCTGTTTAACTGAATGAGCTAGCCTGAGGCCACCCTTCTCTTTCCTATAGCTGTCCTTTTTCTTGGTTTCAGTTGCTGGTTGTTGGAGGTTCCTTTGGTCTTCGGGAATTTTCACAAATCCGATATGATGCTGTGACGATTAAGGTAAGAACTATAATTGGTGTTTCACTTGTGTCCAAGTGTATGTTTTTTGGTTTAGGAGAATTATGTGCTCAGTTCATTTAGCAATATTAATCTGTCTTGTCTTGAAAACCTAATAGATGATCTTTGCACCCTCTCTTGTTTAAAATATCACTAATGGGCCCATGAAAGTGAATCATATAAAGCATTTGGTAACAGTTCTTTGTATTCACTAGGGAATTTGTAATATTATTGTTTCTCCCCCCAGATATTCTCAGATGTAGTTGTTTTTTAGGATTCATAAGGAACTAAAGAACATGGATCAACAATTTTCATTTCATTTTATTTCTCTAATTATAAATTCACTATTTTATTTTAATGCCAGGGATGTTGTAAATGTATTGTCATTTCTCATTAGTTACTGATACTAAAATAAAGTAAAATAAAATATTTTTATTATAAATGAAGATAGTTTATCTTTTATAGTATATGCATTGTGGTAGGATTATAGTGGGTCCTCTGTTTTACAGGTGTGGTATACTACCTTGCACACAGTCATGTGGTCATTCCAGAACAGAACTAAGATTCTCATCCTCTGTAATTACACATCCACTGTCAAATTTATGCCGTATGTTACATAAGAACTCTGGTTCATTAATTGAGAAATGTGTTATAATTTGGGGAGAGGGAACATATACCTGATATTTGAAGATTTTTCTAAGTAATATATAATGTATCATCATATGCCATTACAAACATTGTTCACTTTGGTAATGGACCCTCCATTGCTGCATTACACCAAGTAATATGACTAAGTGTGCATTTTAAATACACACACTTGTGAATAAGACAGTCTTTGACTTGCCGATCGTGCTTTGTTACAAGATAGTACTAGCTTAATATTTAATGTAAATACTGTGACCCTGTTTTTAAGATAGGATAATCATAATAGCAGTGCCTATATGATCCAGATATCGCTGGAAAAGAAAGCTAAATAATTCTGTTACTTTAATGACAGATGAAAAGGACACAGACAGCTGGATTAGGGAGTTAAATAACCCCTACACTAGTTAAACAGCATACTGCACAATATGCAAAAAGAAATTACAGTTGGGTATATTGGATACAGGGATGGAACACATAAGAAGACTGAATTTCACATGTCTAGGATGAGACAAGCAAGTACTTACAAATCAACCCTAAATTGGTTCATCCTCAAACACCAATTCTTAACCTCAAATAGTAAATAATTAGCTTGTGCATACCACACCAACTTATTATACTTGGACTGATCTGCAAAACTCACAAAAATTCCATTTTTCTAATTCCAAAGGTGCAACTAAATATAGCCTAGACGTGAACAGAAGGGGAAGTTCTGGTAGCAGCTGTGTCGTTGTCCAGCAGGAACACAGTTGATCCAGTTCAGTCTTAGCAAGGGCCATGCTTTCTTTCTACTCCATTATACACAGTGAGCTCCAGCTAGGGGTGGAACTCATTGGTAGAGCATTTGCCTAACATGCAGCAAGCCCCGGGCTTGACCTGCAGCACAGTGAGAGAGAGAGGGAGAGGGAGAGAGGGAGACGGAATCATGGAAGCAAGACATGTTTTCCTTAACTCTTAGGTACTTTAATGTGGGGGGAAAATGGAGTTTCTAATTGTCATTTGGATTCTTTGAAGATTTTAAGGAAAAAAGAACGTGGTGGTGGGCTGGGGTGGGGGAGAAACATAAAACAAAAAGGTTGATGTTTTATAAAATGCCTCCCACCTCAGTTTTCTTTCTACTTTCTACCTGGGACTTTAAGATCCATAGAGTATACTATTTACTATGCCTAAGTTCAAGGGTTGTAAGAGCTGTAGAGTGCATATTACGTTAAACTATAGTTAACTGCATGTGGCTGTTAAGAGCTTTAGAGGGTACTGTTAAACTATATGTAAGTTCATGGCCTGTATGAGCTGCAGAATATACTATTAATCTATGCCTAACTCTTTTTGTATATATACCCACTCCTGGATTCTACTGTCTTATCTTCTAATCACTAAATCTGTCTTTTGTTACATTGAATTTTTTTTAACTAGACCTGTCCTTTAACTTTACGATTTGGTACATATTTTTCACTTCTGAACTGTTTATTTAATTCTTTATTATGTCTGTCAATACTCTAGAGAAATTTTCCATAATGTCATATTTTATCCCCTTTTTCTAAACACTTTGTGAATTATAATTATTTAAAAGGCCCATCTCCCATAAGGATATTTTTTCTTCAGTTTTTTTTTTTTTTTAGATTTATTTATTATGTATACAGTATTCTGCCTGCATGTGTCCCTGCAGGTCAGAAGAGGGCACCAGATCTCATTACAGATGGTTGTGAGCCACCATGTGGTTGCTGGGAATTGAACTCAGGACCTTTGGAAGAGCAGTCGGTGCTCTTAACCACTGAGCCATCTCTCAAGCCCTTTTCTTCAGTTTTGACTGTATGATTATGTCTTTTGCTTTCTGCTTTTGTTACTATAGCCCTGTGTGATGATTTCTCTAACCCCCAGTAGCAGCATCTACCTGGTGTCCAGCCTTGGTTCCTCTTGTTTTTAAATGAACATGTATACTGTACAGAGTAATAAGCTTCGTCTTGGCATTTCCCTTCATGTATGTAATATGCTTTGATAATGTTGGCTCCTTCAGTACCCTTTCTTATCCCCCTTCTCCCTCTTCCCTTTTTCAATACATATTTCCAATAATCATTTTACTTTCTGTCCTTATTTTTTCCACAATTTTCATATATGAAAGCAACATGTGATACCTGGCTGTGACACTAACTAACCCTTGGTTATGATTCTGTACTTGTTCCAGGCTTGGTAAGTGTAGCCAAGGGAGAAAATGGGTTTCAACTCCAATTCTCAGCTCGTAGGAATCCCTCTTACTATAGTGGGATTTTCTCTGTTGAGCCCTACACTGAAAATTGAATTGAATTTTAAGTTGATTTTATCTTATTTTTTCTTGTTTTGCAAATTAGTTTGACATTAAATGGACACCGTTAAATTTACTTTATATAGAAAATAGAAGCACAAGAAGGTAGCTTATGGAAATGTTAGACAATGGGATAGTGTTTGCTGATAAGACAGAAATGGAATGTGACCAATAGCACTGATAGGCTTCTGGAACCCCAGGCACACATGTGTTGGGATTTTTGGATCTACTTGTCATAATATACCCTTTTTTGATTTGTCTCATTTGTCTCTATCTATGCATCATTCTAATGGGATCATGGGATTATCCCGACTCATCACTTTGTTCATAGGCTCTGTTGAGTCATGCATACTCAAATGGTCCATTGACTTTGTTTATTTCACCAGTCTCACCCTCCTTTGTGACATGCAGGTAGCAGGTATGAGCTCCAGTGGGCCACTGTGGAACCCTAAATATCCCATAGCTTACTCTTTATTCAGTCTGTGGAGGGGGTTCTTTTGTTTTTCAAGTGCATTATATAGTAGCATTTTAAATATTTCCATGCTTCAAAATTTACATGGCTGGTAAATAATGCTGCCCCTGGAGGCAGAAAGCTAGTGCTCAACATGTTTCTTTCACGAGTTATTCAAGCTCCTGTGCCTGCTTTCCTTACATGTAATAATGAAGAAGAAATTTATGCTCGTCTTACAGGTTTTGTGAGCATTTAAACTAGATGGTGTATGTCAAGTGCCTGGTGCACAGGTGTATAAGTCAGTGGATATTAGCTAGAGTTGTGTTCTATTTACCACAGTGGACAGTAGAGATTTTGACGTATACTTTAAATTGTCTGAACTGTCCCAGCCATCTTTCCTATGACTTTGTTTGTTTGAGACAGGGTTTCACTATGTCCCTGGCTGGCTTAGGACTCACCATGTAGACCAGGCTGGCCTCAAACTCACAGAGATCCCCCTCTTTCTTCCTCCTCAGTGCTGGGATTAAAGACATGTGCCACCTGGCTTCACTCCTATAATTTTTGAAAGTAAAAAATGAAAAAAAAAATTAAAGTGAAAAATGAATGTAAAAGAATTAAATAATGTATGTCTTTTTTCTTTTCTACAGGTTGATCCTGAATTAGAAAAAAAATTGAAAGCGAATAAAATAACTTTAGAGTCAGAATATGAGGTATAGTATGTTAATATTCTATGTTTTATAACAGTCTCACTAGTCATGACTGGTTCTCTTTCTCAAGATAATCAGTAGTGAATAAAAAATAACTTTAATCTGAATATGTGGTAAATGGGCTGGCTGCACTTTGCTTCTTCTCTTACCCATTGTGACCCACACCAGCCTTGCAGCTGTTGCTGTGCTGGAGCAGCTGCTTCTCCTTTCCTCTTGTCTTCCCAGCCTCTTCCCATTCATTGTGCTCTCAGAAACAGAATGGAGACTCCTTCTGTCACTAATAGTTTGTCAGGATGGGGAAAGGTAGATATGAGGTCTCTCCATAAGCAAGCCAGGGAAGTTCTAACCCTCAGAAAGTTTGGTGTGGAGGTGGTTTATTGGCTGACCTTGTCCTGGAGCCTGTTGAGTTTTCCTTTCCTGCTTAGCACTTAGTGATGCCTCAACCAAAGCCACTGGGTGTCGACACTAATGTGTTTAACGTCCTCGTTCTGTAGAAAATAAAGGACGCTACTTTTGAAGACTGGAAGAATATTCGAGGCCCAAGGCCCTGGGAAGATCCTGAACTCCTCCAAGGACGAAACCCAGAAGCTCTTAAGCCTAAGGCAGCCTGACTGTGCTCAGTTTTTCAATAAAATGATCTCAACTGGACCTGTACTCCACTAGGAAGATTCCAGATCTGTGCAAACCTGGATATGAGTAATGTGATGGCTGAAATTCTTGATTAAAAAGTCAAATATAAATCTATAAAGACTTTCCAATCAGTCTACTTGCAAATGAAAGTAGCAGTGTTGAACACACACACATACACACACACACACACACACACAGTAAAAATGTGACTACTGTTATCATAACGTGCCACACATCCTCTTTTTCTATCAGCCATAGTGCATCTGCCTCATTTTGGTTTTTGTTGAAAATCCTTGGCTTGAATCCAAATTTTCCCAATAAAATTGTGACTTTATGTTAAACCTATAAATAAATGATCATAATCTAGTAATGGTCTTTTCTTTTATTCCTAATACTTCATAAACCAGCCTCTGAAACCATGGAACCCACTAAGGAAATTATATAATTGACCTAATTCGTGTGCAGTGCATGATGGTAAGAAGATGTGACACACTGGTTGAGGTTATCAGGTGCCTGTGTTGTGCCTCAGCACGGTCTGAGAGTCAGTTCCAGTTTGTTCGTTAGATCTGCTGTGGTCAGATCCCTAAGCAAAGTGATAGGGAGGGAAGGCAGGATTTGTTCTTAGTACCAATGGCTCGTTTTCTCTTTTTACCACTGCTTAGGCAGTCTCAGTCCTCCACCCTGTGTAATTTTAATGCTGAGTTCTAAATACCTGAAGTTTAAGCTGTAATAGTCCTGCTGTCGCTGCTCCTTCAAGTGATAAGAATACCCCACTTTTCCCTCAGTCAAAACTTCAGTTCAGTTCAACAGGTTACTTTTAGTAATCTTATAATGTTCTTTAGTGGATAATGACAAACTGATTTCAAAGTTAGTGTCTTAATTACTTTTCTATTGCTGTGATTAAATGCTGTGACTAAAGCAACTTGGAAAAGAAAGGATTTATTTCGCTTACACTTCCAGGCAGTAGTCCATCATTGAGGGAACTTAAGGCAGAAAGGGGGATATGATATAGAAATGATGGAGAAGGGTAGATTATTGAATCTACATTAATTTAAAAAACAACTGTTAATCTCAAAATATTTTACATTGCTATGGATTTAGGTTTATTGATACAAATTGAAAGTTAATTTTGTTATACTATATGTTTCTGTTCTTTTTGGGGTATTACGTTTATACAACTCACTTGAAATTACAATGTATGATTAAGAAATACAGATTAATAGTCATCTATAATAATCAAACTTATAATCATATTAATTAAGTTTTCTAGATATACAAAGATATATTTCAGATAGATAGGCATTTTTCAAAGACCTAAAAAATATGGTATTTAAAATGTTTTAAGAACTTAGACTTTTCTGGACAATGAGAACTTAGACGTTTCTGGACAGTGGACTCCTGGCAGCACCAATATGGCAAAGACTAGCCATTTGGGCAAGAAACTGCTCTTGTCTGGACTGCTTGACAATATGTTGTATAAACTGGACATGCAGGACTCATAGGAAAATGACCACTGAATTTTGCCAAAACACGGCAAGATGGTCCTTCAGATTCCTGCTTCACAGAAGAAACTACAAGACATTCTTTAGGACACAGAGGAAAATGACTGATGAATTTTGCCAAAATAGGTGGGACAGTTCTTCAAATTTCCTACTTCACTGAGAAGTCTTTCAGATACTCTAGGCCTATAGGGTGAAGATGGATGCCCCAATGTTACAAAAAAACTTTGGGTGACTGTCCAGTCAGCCAGATTTCTCTGTCATTTCTAGAGTTTTGGAAGTTGCTTGCAATGCACTTCCTGTTTACTCAGATAATATTATATTCTTCTGGGGTCTGTGATGGAATTGAAGACTAGATAGTTATAATTGTAGTTTTCCTTGGTTATGATAAAAGGTAAATTAGATATGAAACTTTAGACTCACAAATATAGAATAGATGTCACACTAGTGACCTAACAGCACACCTGAAAGCTCTAGAACAAGAAGAAGCAAAGTCTCCCAGGAAAAATAGACACCAGGAAATTATCAAAGTGAGAGCTGAAATCAATAAAATAGAAACAAAGAGAACAATACAAAAAATTAATGAAACAAAGAGTTGGTTCTTTGAGAAAATCAACAAGATAGACAAGCCTTTATCCAAACTAACCAAAAGACAGAGAGAGAGCATCCAAATCAACAAAATCAGAAATGAGAAGGGGGACATAACAACTGACAATGGGGAAATCCAGAGAATCATCAGGTCATACTTCAAAAACCTCTACTCCACAAAACTGGAAAACATAAAAGAAATGGATAACTTTCTGAATAGGTACCACATACCTAAGTTAAATCAAGACCAGATAAACTATTTACATAGTCCAATAACCCCTAAGGAAATAGAAACAGTCATTAAAAGTCTCCCAACCAAAAAAAGCCCAGGACCAGATGGTTTCAGCACAGAATTCTACCAGATCTTCAAAGAAGAGTTAATACCAATACTCTCAAAATTGTTCCACACAATAGAAACAGAAGGAACATTACCAAACTCCTTCTATGAGGCTACAATTACCCTGATTCCTAAACCAAACAAGGATACAACAAAGAAAGAGAACTACAGACCGATCTCCCTCATGAACATTGATGCAAAAATACTCAGTAAAATACTGGCAAATAAACTCCAAGAACACATCAAAACAATTATCCACCATGATCAAGTAGGCTTCATTCCAGGGATGCAAGGGTGGTTCAACATACGAAAGTCCGTCAATGTAATACACCATATAAACAAACTCAAAGAAAAAAACCACATGATCATCTCACTAGATGCAGAAAAGGCATTTGACAAAATTCAACACCCCTTCATGATAAAGGTCTTGGAGTGATCAGGAATACAGAGAACATACCTAAACATAATAAAGGCAATTTACAGCAAGCCAACAGCCAACATCAAATTAAATGGAGAGAAACTCTAAGCAATTCCACTAAAATCAGGAACGAGGCAAGGCTGTCTTCTCTCCCCATACTTATTCAATATAGTACTTGAAGTTCTAGCCAGAGCAATAAGACAACATAAGGAGATTAAGGGGATACAAATTAGAAAGGAAGAAGTCAAGCTTTCCCTATTTGCAGATGACATGATAGTATACTTGAGTGACCCCAAAGATTCCACCAAGGAACTGATACATTTTATAAACACCTTCACCAACTTAGCAGGATACAAGATCAACTCAAAAAAATCAGTAGCCCTCCTATATACAATGGACAAAGAAGCTGAAATCAGAGATACATCACCCTTTACAATAGCCACAAATGACATAAAATACCTTGGGGTAACACTAACCAAGCAAGTGAAGGACCTATATGACAAGAACTTTAAGTCCCTGAAAAAAGAAATTGAAGAAGATGTCAGAAAATGGAAAGATCTCCCATGCTCATGGATAGGCAGGACTAACATAGTAAAAATGGCAATCTTACCAAAAGCAATCTACAGATTCAATGCAATCCCCATCAAAATACCAACACAATTCTTCACAGACCTGGAAAGAATAATACTCAACTTCATATGGAAAAACAAAAAACCCAGGATAGCCAAAAGAATCCTGTACAATAACACAACCTCTTGAGGCATCACGATCCCTGCTTCAAGCTCTAATTTAGAGCTACAGTAATAAAAACAGCTTGGTACTGGCATAAAAACTGACATGTGGACCAATGGAATTGAATTGAAGACCCTGACATTAATCCGCACACCTATGAACATATAATTTTTGACAAAGAAGCCAAAAGTGCACAATGGAAAAAAGAAAGCATCTTCAACAAATGGTGCTGGAATAACTGGATATCAACATGTAGAAGGCTGCAAATAGATCCATATCTATCACCGTGCACAAAACTTAAGTCCAAGTGGATCAAGGACCTCAACATAAATCCAGCTACTCTGAACCTGCTAGAAGAGAAAGTAGGAAGTAGTCTTGAATGCATTGGCATAGGAGATCACTTCCTAAATATAACACCAGTAGCACAGACACAGAGAAACAATCAATCAATGGGACCTCTTGAAACTGAGAAGCTTTTGTAGAGCAAAGGATATGGTCAACAATGCAAAGCAACAGCCTACAGAATGGAAAAAGGTCTTCACCAACCCCACATCTGACAGAGGACTGATATCCAGCATATATAAGGAACTCAAGAAATTAAACATCAAAATGCCCAATAGTCCAATTAAGAAATGGGCTATAGAACTAAACAGAGAATTCTCAACAGAGGAAACTCAAATGGCTGAAAGACATTTAAGGAATTACTCAACATCCCTAATCATCAGAGAAATGCAAATCAAAACAACTCTGAGATACCACCTTACACCTGTCAGAATGGCTAAGATCAAAAACACTGAAGACACCTTATGCTGGAGAGGATGTGGAGCTAGGGGAACTCTCCTCCACTGCTGGTGGGAATGCAAGCTTGTACAACCACTTTGGAAATCAATATGGCACTTTCTTAGAAAATTGGGAATCAATCTCCCCCAAGATCCAGCTATACCACTCTTGGGCATATACCCAAGGAATGCTCAATCATACTACAAGAGCACTTGTTCAGCTATGTTCATATCAGCATTGTTTGTAATAGCCAGAACATGGAAACAACCTAGATGCCCTTCAACTGAAGAATGGATAAACAAAATGTAGTACATATACACAATGAAATACTACTCAGCAGAGAAAAACTATGACATCATGAGGTTTGCAGGCAAATGGATGGATCTAGAAAAAAATCATCCTGAGTGAGGTAACCCAGACTCAGAAAGACAAACTTGGTATGTACTCACTCATAGGAGGATACTAGATGTGAAACAAGGATGACTGGACTGCTACTCACATCACCAGGGAGGCTACCTGGAAAACAAGACCCCAAGAAAGACACGGGGATCGCCCAATGACGGAGAAATGGAAGAGATCTACATGAACAACCTGGACATGAGTGGGGGTAATGAAGGGCGAGGGTCGAGGGAAAGAGAGCTTGGGGAAGCGGGAGATCCCACCTGGGCCAACGACAGAGAGGGAGAACAAGGAATAGGAGACCATGGTAAGTGAAGACCACATGAGAATAGGAAGAAGCAAAGTGCTAGAGAGGCCCACAGAAATTCACAAAGATACCCCACAACAGACTGCTGGCAATGGTTGAGAGACAGCCCGAACTGGCCTACTCTGGTGATGGGATGGCCAAACACCCTAATTGTCGTGCTAGAAACCCCATCCAAAGACTGAGGGATCTGGCTGGGGGGAAGGTGAGGGGGGCAGGAGGGGGGAGAACAAGGGAATTCGTGGCTGATATGTAGAACTGAATTGTATTGCAAAAAAAAAAAAAAAAAATGGCCGGGCAGTGGTGGCGCATG